CTCTAAGTAGTAAGTGTGGTAGCATGGGTTGAAGCTGTTGCTTAGTATTCGTCAAAACAGTCATCTCTTCCCTTAGCTCGGACATTTCTTACCCCACTACCAGCTCTGGTGTGAAAACTGTTAGGTTGTCATCTGCAACACATTGGTTCTCTGGACTGGCATTTCATTACTGATCTCCCTCCTCTTTTTATCAAAGGAAGGCAGTTCTTCACAAAAAGTAATCCTTCACTTAAACAATTGCAGCCAGAATATATTGGACCTAGAACAGGTAAGCAGACTTTCTACCAACTGATGATCATTTTGATTACGTTAATGCAGGTCATACAATTATTCTTGACTCAAGGCTCCCCAAACAATTGTTCTCTCTTGCACAAAGAGGAACATACGGAATATTTGAAGCAGCTGGTAACAATATAAATTACATATAGCACCATTCTTCCTGAAGGGACTGTGAAAAGACCTGAAATAGCCCATGACAGCAGATGACTGCCCAGAGAAGGTATTTTGTTTGCATGGGTATGAATGTACAAGTGGAAACCAAATGGGCCATCCTTTTGTGTCCGTTATCTTCGTGTAAGTGGTAAGTAAGAGCATAAGACTTCCTAAAGGAGACTGGTACCCAGAATGCAGGTACAGCTCCAGCAGTCTTTTAAAAAGATGCCTAGTCTAATGCCTAGCGCATGTGGGAAACAACTGTTCCGTTTATACAGTACGCTTGTCCTGTTCTGCTAACCATGAAGTAGTAAGTTTGGAGGAAAAGGAAGGCTGTTAGGAAAAGAGACTAGTTATTTCTGATTTTAATGATTACAGGATAATGTATTCATTCTTTCTTGAACATGAGAGTACAGAACATACAGGAAAGATGTGACTGACTATATGCTCCTAGTGCTAAAAAGGACTCAGCTTTTCTTCCCCAGTCCTTGGTCTCTTCAATTCCTCCTCTAAGGTTTAGCAGCTGTCCTCTGAGTAGCTTCGTCTCTCCATTGAGCTTTCTTCTCCAAGTTCAGGCTTGTAAGGGTTTCATGCCTTTTTACAGCCTACAACATAATGACAAAGCAAGAGCAGAAAGCATCACCTAAAGGACCACAGAGATTAAACGTGAATCAATAGCTTAAAAGCTATCTGGCCTGTCCTTACCAAGGCACAGTTCTGTCAGCTTTAATGCCAGGAAGAGAGAAGGTTAAAATAAAACATCCAGAGACTATTTTGGTTTAAACTTATTATTTCTCTGGGAATAAATTAAACCCTGTTAAGGCAGTAGAAGATACATTCTGTGCATCTGGTCAGTAATACTAATCTCTGGTCTTCAGAAGTTGGAGGTACTGGAAACAAATAAAAAGTTGACATAATTGATTCCAGCTGCTGTGAAAACAAGGGTCCCAAAGCAGCTGTCCTCCTCCCTTTCCAGTGTTTGCAGTCATACTACTCCAATGTAAGAGGAAAATGTTCTGGGAATTGTCAGTGTTGATCTCTTCTGCTAACGCCAGGGAAAAACCTTTCCACTGTTTTATTCCAGAGTGCTGCATCCTTTTCATTTTGATAGGTGAATGCTGACAGAAATGTCACTTGACACAATAGTTCACAGTGCTGGGGTTGAGACTCTGTTACTAGTTTTAAGGTTTCTCTAGAACACTTCGTAGTCTATAGAAACAAAATCTGAATGTTGTCATCAGAACTGCTTCAGAGAAAGGCCGCATACAAATAAGGCGCTGCCCATGTAGATGCTCTAAGCACAGGGTTTTCTGATTCCAGTCATCCTTAAAAGAATGTAGTGGACTGTGTTTGTTACCACCGTGCTTTTTATCCAAAAGTAACATGACAGTAAGCTCCACGGATGATATTCAAGTTCCTTGACTTTAAGACTGTTTCTGCTGAGAGGCTTTAGCTTGGCTTTGTTACACAAAACATGCTCCTTGCTTCTTTACAGAAATACCTCAAAGTTAATAGTTCACCAACTATGTTAAAAAACACATAAAGTGTGACCAATCTTTGCTGCACTTGGAATCTTAAACTTTACACTTACTCTCTTCATGTGATGCAAATTAAGTCATAGATCTAATTCTGCCACATGCTGAACTACTTTGATATCTTGGCAAATTCTACGCAAGTGAGGGATGCTCAGCATCTACAGGACGTGGGAGCTCTTCTATGAAATATATTTGATTCAACAAACAATAATAATTGAGAAAACTTGTTCCATCCACACTAAAGGAAGTCTATTTTCTAATGCAATTAAAAAGGGCACAGAATTGCTACTGACCATCTCCTCACTGTTTAAAAAGACTTGAGAATTCTCAAGTCTGATTGTTGAGAAACATACTCATTTGGTATTTCCATTACATTGATTCTATAAGTGTTGCAGCATGTAGAAAGGCATTTGTAACAGGTCCAGGCAGTCACTGCATGGACCCCATTGGCCCAAGGAGCATTTACCTACCTACCAGATCCTTGCAACAGAAAGTGCTCTTTCCTTTCAAACTCTTGCAGCCCGTCAGCAAAATTAAGGAGTTAAAACAGTGCAAGCTAAATATTAAGTATTGCACCAAGGAAAAAAAATACTTTTTTTTTTCTTTTAAAGGAAGCATATGCAGTCTAACAGTGACATCACCCTTTTCTGCCTTGGGTATTAATCAGTGATGGTCACTTCTGCAGAACTAGGAGGAGTTATTTTTAATTTTTGCTCAGTGATGAAACGAAAAAAACACCACCAAAACCCAAAGCAAAACAGTACTAACAATCCACACGAGGAACTAAGGAGTTTATGTGAAGACTGACTTGTAGTCACCTGCCAAAAATCTCTGCTTACCTGCTTCCCTTTAATCACCATTGCTATGCATCCCAGTATTGTCAAGGCAATCATTACATAGCTGAACTTCACACGCAGTGTGGTCTTTGCTGCTCTGATTGTTTCAATCCTCAAGAAATAATAAAAGAACAGACTTATCAGAAACCCAAATAAATCATTTGGCTAACTGTTTAATTTCGCCTAGCATGCTATGTAATTTTGTACAATGCTAGCAGTACCTGGTTCTTATCACAAAAAGGTTTTACAAGAATGGGAAAGGCTGATCCTCAGCTACCTTGGTCACAAAGGTATTCCTCTCAAAGTTGGAAACAAACCAAATATTTTTAACTTCACTTATTTAATTGTTAAGAGACAATATGGCCTTTCCAGACCACTTGACTGCAACGCAAAAGAGGAAGGCTGCAGTATTTAAGTATGCGTGTTCACTATGGAGAAGACAGGAAAAAGAAGAGAATCGTTTTACTAATTCAGTGTTTTTCTTAATGTTAGCTCCCTCTGTGCTGACTACCACCTTCCAATATCTGCAAAGCCAGGGAGCACTCCATCCATATTAGAACTGTGGTGTATTTAACATTATAAAACCTGCATTTTCCCTCAATAGCAGAAGCACCATAAAACCCATTTGTCAGCAGAAATAAAATACATAGTGTTTAATACTATGCATTTGGTGTTTCTTGGGCAGAGGGAAGCATTATCACAGCTTAGCAATTCTTTCTTCCTGAACTTCAAAATAGTTTCATTTATGACACAGTCTATTTTCAAGCAAGAAGGCTTCCTCTGCTACAGGATTTGATAGTGCTATAGATTACACACTGGCTGCTGAACGTAATACTCCTCAGAATTTCTGAATAGGACTTGGTAAGAGACCAGTGGTTACCACTTCCCTCCTGCTAGAGTAAATACTCTTAAGGTACTCTATTTTCCTAAGAAACTTATGAGGCATGGAGGGATTGTAAGCTTTCCAACATCAGCTTTGGACAGAGGACTCTTTTATTTTTTTTTGTTGTTGTGATTTTTTTATTTCAGGGGACTTACATAGCCACACCAGTATACTACTCCTTTGGAAAACCTGTTGCCTAGTCTACTGTTACCTTTTAAAAGCCAGAAGTCTTCCACAAGAAAAGTATCAGTTATTAAAGCCTTCCAGCTGTACATGTGATGAGTTAAAACAAAACAAAAAAATTATTAAACTATGAAGATCATTCTACCCCAATGACATCTCAGTTACAGCAAATTTAAAGTTTGTATTAGAAATACCAATCCAAGAAGGGCCAACGTAGCATAATGCTTTTAGATGTTCCTTCCACCATACCCAGAGACCTATACCCTATATATTTAACTCTCCTTGCAGAATTTAGAGCAGTTGACTCCCCAAGGAGGTCTGATATTCTCGCTGATTAAATTTGGCACATTATAAAATTACAGATGACTAGAAAAGCATCAACATCATGTGATGAAAGAATAAATGCATCAAAATAGGTCATTATAACCCCAAACTAACATGGATAGTTGATTTAATGGAACAGGGGAATTATCATTGTACACAAACATGAGCGACTACGGAATCTTTTATCACATTTTGACCCTTATACTTGGAGGGAAAAGAAGATACAGAAGGATCCATGATAGTTCAACACGGTAAATCACATAGGACCTAAGAACTAGAGATTTTTAAAGAGGAAAGCGAGTGATTTGACTGCTGTTCCAGAGTATTGATCAGAGTACAACATTTCTGATCATAGGGAACCTGTCCATCTACTATCAAGCTAATAGTTAAATTTAGCTTCCAGGGTATCTGTTTTTGCTAATATCTGCGACGAACAAGTTAGGCACAGGCTGCAATTAAGCTGAAATTAAAGCCTACAGAAGTGGGATTTAAAAACTTTATTAGTTAGCGTTTGAAGTACCTTAGATGTGCTAAAAGAGGAAAAGTTAGTTATCTGAACAGTTTGCTTTTTAATTCAGTGGCTAAGATTAATATTTAATGAATGAGTTACTTCTGATCACCACATCTTGCAAGATTACAGAGTTGTATCACAAGCTATCACAATTCTTACAACTCTTAATTCAGCTCAGAACAGGAAAACGAGCTTTTGTGCTTTTATGTCGTTTTCAATTGACTTCTCAGTTTTGGCTAAACTATTTGCCTAAACAAACAAGAATTCCCTATGCACTTGCAAAACTGCAAGGTCAGCTTTTATCGGTTTGTCCTTTCAATAAACCACTGAAATAACTTCAGTCACTCTGGCAATTGAATTTTTCTTAAAAACACTCGTAACAAGTGTTTGGTATGCAAAAATACATGCACTAACAATAAGTTTTAACAATTTATGCCTTTATGTATTTCAAATGTAATTTTAAGAAAAACGATGCAATACAAAATGGAAGAATTCATTGTTAATGTTGTGATATGCTTAGAAAAAACTTAAGATACATGGGTGCACTTTGAACTCCCATATGGTGCATCCAAACAAATAGAGTATATTTAGGGGGCAGCTACATAGTTTGCTTACTCAAGTAGTACAAGATTTACTGTATATTTTTAATTTAAATAAATGCATACATTTAAAAGCATTACAAGCATGTTTTAAAAGATAACTATACTACCACCAGGAATGTTCTTTAAACTAATAATTGCCTGTTGTTGTTAAGTTTTATCTTCATTTTAGATAGGCAAACTAGAACACACAGTTTTAATTTCTACTTTTCACGCAGGGCAAAACATTGACATTGGGCTCCACCAGCAACAAGGATGTTTTGACTATACATATATATATATATATATGTTTGTTAGTTTAAATTCCAAGAGTAAAGAAAGTTGGCCCATGCCCTCTAGATATTAAGTAATAAATATTTTAAATGAGTTTCAGTTATTTTATAGCTATATCATGAAAGGTTTGCACAATGGGAGACTGACATATAAAGAAAAACACTAGAAAAAGCTCATGCTTAACATTTGCAAAAAGGTTTTTTGACTAGGAGAGAAGAGTAAAAATTAACTGATTTGTGATGTTTTTCTAATGAAACAACAACTGATAGATGGTGGTCATCCCTTCAGAAAAAAAATAATCAAAAAGGATATATTATGTCAGCAATATAGAATTGCTCAGGTCATCTCATCTACAAGACAATACACCAAACGCAGCAGTGTAAGATTTTTCAGCTGTGAAAACCCATTCTATTTAAGAAAAGTTACTGTGGAGTTGCATTCAAGTAACTTATTCCTGCATAGATAATGTCTCTTTTACAGCTTCAAAACTGGCACTTACGAGACAGTCTCTGGTATATCCTCTGGTTTTTTGAAATGGCCTGCCCACAACAAAAATCTTTTCTCCCAATCTGTAGGCTTGTGTCCAGGCACCCTCAAAGTAGACCGACCTAAAAAAAAAAAAACAACACAAACAAACAAAAATAAACACCAAGAACAACAGTCAGAGAAGCTGAATTGCCCCAGCTGTAATGGAACCAGTTAGGGTGAGCAACGCAGACTTTTAAGTACATCTGCTAGAGCCAGTTAGGGGACAAAAAGCACAGTCAGATTAACAAACCTGTAAATATGGATTAAATTGAGCCATGGAAGGAAAGCCAAATCTTGCTCAAGACCTCTGTATTTTTAGCTCTGAATTTGCAGAACCTGCTCCAGCATCTAAGCTTCCTAAGGTGCTGTGATACTATAGTCTTCCTATTACATTTAAATTAATTTAAAAAAAAAAATCAAATGGAACTGCTACAGAAAAGCCAGTATCCTGCACCATTACATCACAGAATGCTAACTTTTCCAGGCAGTGTAAGATTTTATCTTATCTGGAGGTATAAACAAACAGATGACCACAGGCAAAGATTAAACCCTTAATTTTCAACTTAGTCTTTCAAACTCAATATACAAATTATTCAGAATGTAATACAGGAAGGTTTCCATGCATAATATACCATTAAAATGCGGTAAACAATGTGCAAAGATAGAAACCTTTTTTTTTTTAAAAAACAATAGGAGTTATCCTGTAGGGATCTGTGCTGCTTCGTGGATTCAGGAATTATCTAGGAACCAGGGTGGACGCACAGTTTGCTGACAACACCAAGTAATTGAAAAACATAAAGAAGAGGGCTAAGCGTGAAGAGCCGCAGGGCTTCAGAATCCTCAGTCAATGAGCTGGCCAGTGAAACCCCATGTATATAAACAAGAAGCAATTCCAGTTCATGTATAAATGACAGACTCTAACCTAACCATTACTGCTGAGGAGCAAGTCCTCAGGGTTTCATAGAGTTTTTGGCAAAACACTCAGTAATAGTCAGAAAGGGATACACTATTACTAGCAACGATTAGGAACACAGACCAACACAAAAGCACTGTGCCATTGTATAAAACCGTGACTCCAGCATTTTGAAAAGCATGTGAAATACTGATCCCTCATCTCAGAAACAGCTGAAATAGAATGGGCACACAGAAAAAAAAAGGACAACCACAGGTATGGGAAGGCCACCTTGTCAGAAACAGTATCATAGACTGAAACCCTTTGGCCTGGGAAAGCAGTAATCGAAGCTCCCTTCAGCACAACTCAGGGCACCAGAATCATAAGTGACATTGGGAGTGTGGGTTATAATGAACGGGTCCTGTTTTGGAAGGGGTAGTCAATAAAGGAATATCTGATTGAAAAAAAAAGCACTTACCAGGTTCAAAAACAAATACAAGACTATATTTGTTTGCGCACAGCATGGTTCAGCTGAAGAATTCCTTCTCAGATAATGTGGATGCTAAAAATACACCCAGCATCAAGATACTGGGCAAAATTATGAAAGAAAATCCAGTGAGAACCATTAAACACAAAGATGCCACCTCTGGGACAGCAGTCTAGGGGAAAACCACTGTGTTTGCCCTCATTCTACACTCTTCCTTAGATCCTTGCTATTGGTCACCATTCCTATTAGTCTTCACAAAAATGTAAGGGACCTCCTTTACTGGCCACTACTGGAGACATCATACTGTTAAGGAGACCTTTGGTCTTACCCAGTACAGCTGCATTATGTTTTTAACACAGAAGTATGCAAAATGCTTCACATCTGTATGCTTCTTTTATCTAGCATCAGTAGACCATGAAGGGAACATGTTATACAGGAAGTCTGATTAAAGCATCATAAATGTCCCATATATAGTGAAAAAATGTTTCATGGCCTGAGCTTTACCTGACCAGCTCCACCCTCAAACATGAATCAAGCCAGTGATTCAGACTGACTCTTTCCTGCAGGGCACGTTCAGTTTTGTGAACAGCTGGAGCTGGTTGCACTATGAAAAACTCCAAAAGTTTGTACAACATTCCTAAACATTGATAGTTTACATTGGGGTTAAACAGTCAGTGCTGAAGCACAGCTGAAGAACCTCAATGTAGGACTGTACATCAGATCAGATACTCGTGACCTACTACAAAGCAAAAGCTGTGTTGTCACAAGAAGAAATACTAACCCCTGGCTTTGTTAAAAACCAAGATTTTTATTGCTAAATTTAATGCTCAGTTTTCAGTCTAAAGACCAGAATTCCCTCTCACTGAATAAAGCATATTAGCATCTATGTCTGCCAAATCCCTGTTCAGATGGTAGCAGCTGGGATATCTAAGTATTTCATGGCATGAAACATAGTATGATCTTTATCAAAAACTCTTACTTTTTGGCTGAAGTTGACTTCCTTCCTGGGGTTTAATGCAAAGACTTCTGCTTATCTTCGGATCCACTCCTTTAGCCATCCTCAGAATTGAGGGAACATTTCTTCCCAGGAGTTTAACAGCTCTATCTGGAAGAGAAAGCAGAGAAAGCAAAGGGGCCAAATCTAACTCAGGACAGTAGAAAGTGAGAATACTGGCTTTTAAATAGAAGTGTTTGTTTGTTTGTTTGTTTTTTAAATGCAAGAGAAAAAAACCCACAATAGTTACAAATCTACTATTATGCAAGAAACGCCAGATTTAGTTGTAACAGAGCCTACCAAAGAAATTAAAGCCGGTCTATAAGCAATGACTTGAGCTTGCCCTTCAACCTTACTTAGAAAACTGGGAATGCAAGATTACAGCCTACAAGCAATTTCTAAAACACAACACACATCACAATTTGAAGGAACTTAATCTATTCATATGCTTCAGATGTACTTGGAACAGTGCTATTTCAAGGACCACACATGAGCATTCTACCAGTCTTGTCACATCCCAAAAGCAAGTCACAAAATTGACAGACAAGAAAAGGCAAAAAAAGCATCATCTGGCCACACTGAGATACCTACTTTGCAGCATGTTACAAAAAGGCAGGGCAGCTTGTATATGAAAACATATTCCTGAGAAAAAGCTTCTAATTCATTAATTAATATAATGAAAAAATTCTGAGGGGAAAAAACCCCAACACTTTGAAAGACAAAAGGGCACTTTAAAAAATATAAATTGAGTTCTTTCTTCTTTATGCTGGCTGAAAATGTCTCTCCTATGGGAAACAGTTGCCCTTTATTTTTGAATTTACATTTAAAGGCGACCCCCCACACCTCCCCCCAAAAAACTTTTCAAGGTCTTCAGAGGAGGGGAAAAAAGGCACAAACCCACGCCTTTCATGTCCGTTAAGGGCAGCTTGGAGGCCGCGAAGCCTCAAGCGGTAATGTCCATCAGACACGTTTCACTTCATCCCTGCCGCGCCGCCAGGCCGGGGACGCCCGAGGGTCC